ACACGATATTCTAGTCCTGCATACATACAAGTAAACACAGTGTTATATGAGAGCATTACTAAACCTGTCGTTTTATGTTGTGGTTATATATTATGTGAGTAATGCTAAACTTGTCGTTTTGTGTCGTGGTTACATTTGAGTTCTGCTAAACATGTCGTTGTATGTTGTGGTAATATGTGTTGTTGTTAGATGCGAGCAATGCTAAATGTGTCGTTATATGCTGTCGTTATATGTGAGTAATGCTAAACCTGTCGTTAGCCTATATGATGTGGTTATACGTGAGTAATTCTAAATCTGTCGTTATATATGTTGTGGTTACATGTGTGAGTAATGCTAAACTTGTCGTATATGTTGTGGTTACATGTGTGAGTAATGCTAAACTTGTCGTATATGTTGTGGTTATATGTGAGTAATACTAAACTTGTCGTTATAATATGTTGTGGTTATATGTGAGTAATGCTAAACTTGTCGTTATGTGTTGTGGTTATATTTTATATGTGAGTAATGCTAAACTTGTCGTTATGTGTTGTAGTTATATGTGAGTAATTCTAAACTTGTCGTTATGTGTTGTGGTTATATTTTATATGTGAGTAATGCTAAACTTGTCGTTATGTGTTGTAGTTATATGTGAGTAATTCTAAACTTGTCGTTATGTGTTGTGGTTATATTTTATATGTGAGTAATGTTAAACCTGTCATTATAAGTGAGTAATGATAAACTTGTCTTTATAATAAGTTGTGGATATATGTGAGTATTTATAATGCTAAACCTATCGTTATATGAGAGCAATGCTAAATATGTCGTCATATGTTGTATTTATATGTGGGTAATACTAAACATGTCGATATGTGTGAGCACTGCCACTCAGTATTCTGCCAGCCTTAAAAAATCCCAGTCCGTGCATGGGTGAGTCCATCACGGTAGAACATTTCACAAAAACACTCAACTGTTGTGTCGTATTTCCTTGACTTAACATCCGACTATGGCGTCATAGGCCTATTTCCTTATTGGCGTCATATTTCCTTAACATCCTTAACATCCGACTATGGCGTCATATTTTGTCGACAGCCGACTATTGCGTCGTATTTTGTCGACAGCCGACCATTACGTCATATTCCGATGTTCTGCACCTACAGACGACCCCTGAATCGACACACAAGACTTTCTCTTTTCCCGCTCTTTAGCAATGTTCCGTCGTCTGCTTTTGTCAAATCTTTCTGCCTCCACCCCTCACCTCATTTGCCCCCTCCTCTGGGATCCTGACTCTTTCTGCTGCCTTTCTATTGCTACTCCTTGGCTCCTTCTTACTGCTGTCTTTCAGCTACACCCCTGATCTTAGGGTAGGTAAGATCTAACACTTAGCAGTCTCGGATAAGGGTGAAAAATCTCGGAAGTCCCGTATGAAGGTTGTGCACGTTAAAGATCCCTTGGTGGTCCAAAATCGATAAGAAGAGTAGGCATCGGCCGCCACCCGGAAAATACTCAAAATGAATTCCTGCCAAACTGAAAATGTTTAATAATGTGCTCCGCGTGCTTATTCGACCTTAAGCAGCTGCGAGCACCGTAAAACACTCACCAAAAACAAACAAAAGACAACAGTTGACCACTCACCGATGTGCCTGAAAGCCTCAGCCTGGAGAAAGAAGCCCAGCAAACAGTAATAAAAGACGGGAATCTTCTTCATTTTGTCCAACGCTTGAGAAACTCCCGAGGAATGGTTAAGAAACAGAATGTGAAAATTATACAACAGAAAACCCAAACACAAACTTCCTTGGTTCTATTTCAGGCAGCGGTGTTGTGTGTAGGCCGCTTGTGTGCCAGGGAGAGAGAGAGAGAGAGAGAGAGAGAGAGAGAGAGAGAGAGAGAGAGAGAG